GCCCCGCCGGCCCCGCCCCCGCCCCCGCCTCGAACCGGGGCCGCCCCGGCGCGAACCCGACTGCTGGGTCGCCCCGTGTCTGCCCGGTGAAAGCCCAGGCGCTGGCCAAGTGAGCTCAAGTCGTGGCTCTGAGCAGCCTTGCCGCCCCACTGAGGGAAAGTCCCGGCCTTCCGAGGTCCCCGCATCCTCCTGGGAATTAGGCTCCCGGCACGAGCAGACTTCCACACCTCCTAACTCTCAAGGGAACTCCCTGTGGGAAGAAGATAGAATGGAATTTGACAGTCGGGTGGACCTCAAGACTACCTTATTCAAAAGGAGCCAAGAGGTGCATTAGAGACTTCGCCGGGAATATCCACACGCCCCTACCCCCAAGCCACACACCACACAAAAATCCTTATTTTGAAGTGAGAACGCTGTTTGCTCTGCAAAAGCTGGTTCAGAGGAAGGACCACAGCCCTCAATTACAACGTGAGCGCAGCGCCTGAGACCCTCCCGTAGAGAAATTCGGAAGACTTTACCACCACTTGTATATTTCGGAAACAGAGCACAGAAGCGTCGGGTCCCATCGCCCCCACCCCAAAAGTGAGCGGGTTAAGAAGTTGATTGACACTAGGAAATTCGTAAATCTTTGACTAGTTGTTAGCTTTATTTCAAGGAACTCTTTACAGTGAGTAAACTGCATGAATAATACCCTGGTATGTGAGGAGGAAGATGATTTCCTGGTCCTGAGGTTGTTAACTGCACTGCCCTAAGAAGGAAGATACCTGACCTAATAGGGCAGGGTAGTTGTTTTCCAGGGCAGCAATAGGAATCAGTCAGTCTGTCAACAAATATTTTTTTGAGAGTCAGACTTAGTGATAGCCTCAGAGACTACACAAAGTTGAGGTGAAGAGATCCCCGCCCTCCAGCGCAGTCTTCCTGCAGACACAGGAAGGGACTAAGATGAGGAAAGTGGGGAGTCAGGGAAGGCCTTCCCCGAAACTGCACTAAGACATGAACTGAAGACAAGCGGGGAGAGGCAGGCAGGTGCCAAGGAGGAGACGCCGCTTGTGCAAAGGCTGCACAGCCAGAGAGACTGGCCTTAGTATGTGTCTGTCTCTGAGGAGTGGCACTCCAGTTCTGTGTGTGTTGCAGGTGGCGTCGATGTGATTTTTACACATGTTGGAGAAAGTGAACCTACCCCTTCTTATATGGATGTTTTACTGTCGTTTCAAACAGCAAGTCCAAAACTTAATTCTCTATCTTCCATTCCAAATCTGAGTTCACAGCCGTATTCTGTTATCTGGGCTAGAAAGCTTGACTCTTTTTTTTAACCCCTCACCCTCATACTGTTTTCAGGTGCCACATCTTTCTGACTCTGCTGAAATCTCTCTTCCTTTCTTTCCGTTTGCTGTCATTGTCCTTGTTAAAATCATCTTCATTTGAGTAGTGTCAACATGTTATGGTTTTTTGGTTTTTGTCTTTAAAAAGATACGAGCTTATGAGACAGGCAGACTTGGGTTGGAGCCTAATTCTACACTTTAACATGTGGGACATTTGGGCAAGTTGCTCAACCTTTCTGAACCTGTTTTTTTAACAGTAAAATGGGAATGCTATGCTTAACTCTTCCTTCTTCAAAGGGTTATTATCAGGATTAAATAATTATTGAGAGTATGTGTGTGAAGTATCTAGTGGAATGCTGGGCTCGTAGTAGGATTAGCTCAGTAAATGTTGCTTCATGTTCTTGACTGGAATTCTTATAATGGGTCTCCCATCCCTCCCCTTCCTCCTACATACCACTTAAATTAATCTTCCTAAAGCAAAAGTTGGAGTTTGTCACTTGTCTGCTCAAAAAAACATCAATGGCTTCATTCATCCCTTCAGCCAGCAAGCAAGCTACACTACAGGCCATGAAGAGTGCTAGAAATGACTAAAGCTCACATTCCTTGGGCAAGTGTTCAGGGTTGGGACTAAACCCAGCCTACCTCACTCCTCTTATCTCTGGCCACGCTGAGCCACTTTTCCCGCAAGTGTGACTCTGTCAGGAGTGACCTTCCTGCCTGGTCAATGCTGCCTCGTCCATCTTGCTCTTTCTCTCTTGGACAGAGTTCTTGTTTGTACCTATTGTGACACTGATCACTTTTCACACGGCATTATGTACCCGTGTCCTTGTTTATCTCTTCTCCTACTTTCATTTTTTCGACTCCCTCAATAAATATCTGGTGAATGAATGAATTGAATCATATTAGCTCACTTACTCCCTCCACTTTGTAGGCTTGAAGGTTCCCTGTTTGGAAAGTTCTGATTTGTATTTATTATTCGTCATCATACCTGTCCATATGGTTAAAGTAGGAATGGGAAACTTTAATAACATCTTATAATTTTAAATTAAAAGCTAGTTTTTAAAGGTCTGTTCCTTTCTTTAAAGTATCAGTATCTGTACCAGATTCTCCTGATATCCCTTCTTTTTCGCCAGCTTAACCCCAAGTCCATAACTCTATTACTAAATTGTTACTAAAGGTACGAAAATGATTTTACATGAAATGATACTCCACTTTTTTTTCTCCCAGGCAGTCTTCCTGTTGCAGATTTCAGAATTATTATACTGTTTCACTAAAATCCAGAAACTCCATTTTTTCTTCATCTGAAATCATTCCTAATTGCTCTAATTCTGAATAAACATTTAAGAATATTAACAATCTTTTTATTGATACCAGCCTGCTTTACAGAGATCTTTAGCAGAGTCATTGTTTCCTTAATGTAAAATAGTTGGGAAATAAAGTTTTGTGAAGACTAGTAAAATTTACTCAAAGTACAATTACAAGAAGGCTGTTATATCTCCCTGGCTTTATTGGCCTGGCATTATGTTTCAAATTCATCTAGAGTTCCTCTCATTTCTTCATGATGTTTAGTAACTGGAACAATATTGCATCATACACAAACTTGCACTTCACTTCCTTCCTCAAATTATTAATGAATGTGTTTAGAGGCCATCACGCCTATCTCTACCCGCTCCATTCTGATGAGCAACCATTCACTACTATGTCTTTTCCTGTTTCTTCACCAGTTTTTAACCCATTCAGTCATTTTCACCCACAAACTGGCTTGCTTCATGGTGGCTGAGGTAGGAAAACTACATTGCCTCTTAATAAGAATGTGTCCTGCAACTAGAAACTAATTCCAGAACTTGTTAGTTATACAGCATTGTTTTGAATCAGCACCCACCAACCTATAACACGGCAATGTAAGGGTATCTCCTAGTCTTGAGTTATTTATTACCTTCTTTCTGGTGACCCAGGTGAAGAGAATTGTGCTTGCTTTTCAATATTTAGACGTAGATCATTATCACAGGGCTAAACACTCATGAGGCAGAACTATTTCCAGTGAGTGGGTGGGAAGGCAAGTTCTTTTGATGATTGATGACTTGATTTCCCCATCATTTTCAGTTACATTGTACAAACAGTCTCTAAATCCAATCAGCATTTTCTTTTTTGATAAAATTGGAGTGGTGGAAGTGAAGCAAGACCTTAAATATTCAGAATATTTTGAGCAATATTCAAAATATATTTTTAACATCTTACCTCAAGATCAAACAGAGCCATAACAAGGGTATGTCTAAACATATGGACAACTTTTTATTCTAAAACTTCTAGCTCTTCCATTAAAAATATTTTCAAATTTGCTCAGCTCCTGGAGGAGGACATGAAACGTCTGAATGTTGGAGCGTGGGACATCCTATGCCCTCAGGCTAGTCTGACTTCAGTTGTTTCTCAGCCTTCCTCTTTTTGAACTATGATGGCATATTCACTCCACCTCCACTGCACTTTTCTCATCATTTTAGAATTATAAAACAACAGATCTGAAAAGAAAACTAGAAAAGTTGCGTACTCATGTACTTGTTTCATCTACTACTCTGTATTCAAGAAATTTCTGTGTTCGTCTGGACAGATTTGTCCATTCACCGTGAACCCTGGAGACCTGCTTCATCCAGTTGGCGAGAACCAGGCCAGAGGACTTCAGGCCCTGGCCCAGCTGATTTTCATGCTCTGAAGACATGGCTAAGGTCTCCTGAGGCCAACAACTCTGTCATTTGCTTGGCTGGCACACATTTGAATTTGCACCTCCAGCAGTCAGCGAAGGAGGCTAGGGCTAGAGACCCACTTGGCTATACTCATGAAAGGTCAGAGATCGATGTGTCACCTCCCAGTCCCCTCCACAGGGCCATGGGAGAAAATGGAGTGGTGGTTGGGTAGATGATGCCCTTGAGTTCTTCCAAACTCTGAGGAAGGAGAAAGAAGACTCGGGTGGAACTAGAAAGAAGCTGGCTGCAGAGCTGGCCCAAAGGCCCCTCGTGCAGCAAAGCTCCAGGTGGGGAAAACGTCGGTGAGGAGGGAGATTCAACAATGCAAGTCCAAGGTGAACTTCTCTGGAAAGTCTCTCTCCCCTCTGGCAAAACACAGAAACGCACAGTGCCATGTATTGGCACTGACTCTGTGCCAGACTCTTCACATGGACCCATCAGGTTGATGCTATGGTGGTTTATTGTTGTTGTTATTCCCATTTTATAGATGATATCTCTGAGCACAGAAAGGTTAAAAGACTTCCACAGGTTGGACAGCTGGTAAATAGGGTATCTGGCGTTTGAACTGATGCATTCTGACTGTACTACACATTCCCAATCATGCTACTCGAGTGCCATGCTGGGAAGATCTGTTTCCCACTGGGCAGTTTTCCCAGTGGTGAGGGGTTGGGATCGCCCAATTCTGAGAGGCAGTCACTCCTGATGGTGAGAGCAACTTCTGAGCAGCTTCCGTGGTATCTTGGAGGTGAAAAAGCTGGTTGGGTGTTTAGCCCCAAAGCCACCAGCTGGCTCCCAGGGAGAACCATAGGAGACTCTTAGTGGAGCAGAGTAAGCATGGGTTGCTCCTGGAGACAAAAAGGACTCCGGAAGAAGGGGACCTGACTGGAGGAGCAGGGCAGGTTGGAGGAGGAGGAGCCGGCAATCCTTGCATCAGGTATTTTATTGCATAAGCAGAATTCTTTGGGTACAAAACAGTTTTATTTCCCCATCCATGTCCTTTTCTCCCTGCTCTGGGACGACTTCTTTCCCAGCCCTGGGAAAAGTCTCGTACAGATTCCACTGCTTGTTCAGCTACTTTTAGTTACAAAAAAAGGTCTCGTGTCAGTAATCTAAGAGTCCAGTTCAGAATAATAATCAAAACTTCTCATTTCGAAGTTAAAGCTTCTCCTCTGCCCTGACTCAGACCTGCCCAGGCTGGGAGGTTTACAGCGGGAGGGAGGATGAGATTGACTTCTCGCCTTTTTCCTGGGCTCCGTCTGCACTCGCCGAGGTTGCTGACCTTTGGGGTAAGCAGGGTGCAGGGGAATGACACAGTCGTAGATGACCTGTCCTGGCATGAGCCAGCATTGCTGCTCTCTGACCTTCTGATGCTCAGAGAAGCTTCTTTCTTTCATGGGCCACTTATGTGGGCTACTCAGAGATTCTCTGTTCTGAGCCTCAACTCTGGTGGTGTCTCCTCCAAGCATCAGCTGACAACTCCGAACATTCAGTCCCTAGGCTTCCCCAGCCCACCCACCTGCTGAGTCAATTCATCTGGCACCTGGCACTTAGGATGAAGCCCTTTAAATTATGTTTCTAAGTCAGTCCCTCCTGGGAATGGAGTGCGCTCTCAGCGGGAGGGAGTAATGCATCCACTCCTTCTCCCTCTTTCTCACTCTTGCTCTCCCTTTCTGCCACCTTAAGGCAGTAGCCTCAGCCTCTTGCCTTTAGATTTCTCAGGTTTGTCACACCCCAGGGACACCCCCCATGTGCTCTGAGGGGTCACTTTCGCTTGTCTTGACAAGAAATCTTTCTTGCCTTTGCCCACAAGAGGGGCGTGGAGAAATGCCTTGGTACAGTAACAATTCCTCCCAGAAGACTTTCCCATCCTCTTCCTGTTATAGGCCTGAGTAGATGGACAGCTAAAGCTGGCCCACAATGGGTCTCCCAGACTCTTGCAGATTCAGCAGCGGGGGTCTGGCCTCTCTTATTAGGATGTAAGGAGGCACCCATAGTACTGCCCTGTCACATTAGAGAAGTGAGAAGGGAGAAGGGAGGGCCACTCATCACCCCCAGACAGCAGAGGAAGGTAATGGGCCTTAAAAGAGACTGGCCAGGGAAGGCCTCCCTGATCTTGGGATGGAGTGGTCCAGAGACCCTCTCTGGCTCCCTGAAAGGAGGATAGTCCAAGAGACTGAGGCACAAGGGATGAGAGGCTGATGAGGCTGGAACACTGAGTCTGAGCCAGGAGGGCATCAACCCCAAGGCTGCTCCTGTATACCTGCAGAGAGCAGAGCAGGATGCTTCCTCCAGGAGCCTCTTAGGTCCAGAGGACTCTCATCCCCAAGGTTCATGGAGCCTCGGAATCTGAATAACTGGCTATTCCTCAGGAAAGCAGAGTGATGCCCTAGCCTTGTGTACTTCTTCCAGGGGAACTGGTGAGAACTACAAAGGTACATGGAGGGAGAGTGAAGTTTAGATGACCTGAACCTGGTAGGTAAAGTTGCCAAGGGCTCACTCTTCAGGAAGGGAGGAGGAACGATAACCTTTATTCAGTAAAAAATTCACTTGGTCAATAATATTGTAATAACTTTGGTGACAGATGGTAACTAAATTTATCATGGTGATCATTTTGTAATATATATAGATATTGAATCACTACGGAATATACCTGAAACTAATATGATATTGTATGTCAATTATACACCAATTAGGAAAAAAAGAGGGCTGGCCTGTGGCCTGGTGGTTAAGTCCAGCGCACTTTGCTTCAGCAACCTGGGTTTGTGGGTTTGGGTCCTGGGTGCAGACCTACACCACTTGTCAAGCCATGTTGTGGCAATGGCGCACATACAAAAAATAGAGGAAGATTGGCACAGATGTTAGCTCAGGGCTAATCTTCCTCAAGCAAAAAAAAAAAAAAAGAAAAAGAAAAAGATTGGTGAATTTTCTTCACCCCTAAAATAAAAGGACAAATATTTCACTGAACTCTGATAACCACAAGCACCTACATCTAACTAGTCAAGTCCAAAAATGTATTCCTTTAAAACACTTTTTCTTCAGATATAATTTTGGGCTTGTATACATCCTTTACCCAATTCTCCAAATGTTAATGTTTAAAAATATTTGCTCTTTTGCTTTGCTGTCCTCTCTCTCTCTCCACCCCACCACACCTCTCTCTCCTGAAATCATTTGAGTATGTGGTCCCTCTGCCCCTAAATATTTGAGCATATATTTCCTAAAAGCAAGAGTTCTCTTACATGACCTAGTGCAATTATTAAAGTCAGGAAATTAACATTGATACAACATGTTAGCTAACCTATAAGCTTTATTCAAAGTTTACCAATTGTCCCAGTAATGATCTTTATAGAAAAAGAAAATCCTGGAGCATGAGTTGCATTCAGTTGTTATGAGTCTTTCCTTTCTTTTTTTTCTTTTTTTCTTGAGGAAGACTGGCCCTGAGCTAACATCCGTGCCCATCTTCCTCTACTTTATATGTGGGATGGCTGCCACAGCATGGCATGCCAAGCGGTGCCATGTCCCCACCTGGGATCAAACCAGCGCACCCCAGGCTGCTGAAGTGGAACATGTGAACTTAACCACTGGGCCACGGGGCTGGCCCCTTTACCTTCCTTTAATCTGGTACAGTTCTTCAGTTTTTCCTTGTTTTTCATAAGCTTGATATTTTTGGTTAGTGCAGGCCAGTTATTTTGCAGAATGTCCCTCAATTTGTATTATGCATTTTTGACAGAAATACTGCATAAGCAATGCTGAGTTCTTCTCAGTACATCCCATCAGGAAGCTCATGGTGAACATCTTTCCCATTACTGGTGTGTTAACTTCGATCCCTTGGTTAAAGCGGTATCTGCCAGGTTTGTCCTCTGTAAAGTCACTGTGTTCCCATATAATTAATAAGTACCTTGTGGGGTGATACTTGAGATTTTGTAAAAGTAATTTGTTTTTCTTCCCAAACATGTTCCTCCTTCTGTATTTCACTGGGATGAATTGTTTCTTCACCTATCCAACTGCCCAAGCCGGAAACTGGGGAGTCGTCACTCTCTCCTCTTCCTTGTCTTTTGTGTTCCATAACCAAATCTTGTGGATTCTGCCCCTTTCATGTCTTTCAAATTGATCTCCCCCCCCCCCTTTCCCACTGCCACTACTTAGCTCAGCTTCTCATCTTCTTTCCTTTGAGTTACTGAGACACCACCTAAGTAGGCTCTCTGCTTCCTGTCCATTCCTCTCCCCAACCCTACCCACTTTGCCACCAGAGTTGCCTTTCAAAAATGTAAATCTGGGGCTGACCTTGGTGGTGTAGTGGTTGAGTTCCCACGTTCTGCTTCGGTGGCCTGGGGTTCACGGGTTGGGACCCTGGGCATGGACCTGCACACTGCGCATCAAGCCATACTGTGGAGGCATCCCACATACAAAAAATAGAGGAAGACTGGCAGAGATGTTAGCTCAGGGACAATCTTCCTCAAGCAAAAAAAAAAAAAAAAAAAAAAAGAGAGAGAGAGAGAAAGAAAAAGAAAATGCAAATCTGCATTTTCCTGTCAAAAAACCTTTAATGAAGAAGTTGTGAACTAGAGGTTTTCAGGCATTGATGGGAACCACATGACACATGAGCTACAATCCATGGCCAGCTTGAGCTGCCATAACAAAATACTGCAGACTGGGTGGCTTAAACAACACTTTATTTTCTCACAGTTCTGGAGGCTAGAAGTCCAAGATCAATGTTGTGGCTGACTCTATGTCTGGTGAGAGCTTTCTTCCTGGCTTTCAGATGGCGTCTCCTTGCTCTGTCCTCACCTGGCCTTTCTCTTCTGTGTGCACATGGAGGGAGGATGAGCTCTCTCCTGTCTCTTCTGATAAGGACACTAATCCGATGGATCAGGGCCCCTCTCTTATGACCTCATTTAACCTTAATCAGTTCCTTAACGACTCCACCTCTAAATATAGCCACACTGGGGGTTAGGGCCTCAACATATGAATTTGGGGGGACATAGACATTCTGTCCATAACAAGTGCCCACATCTCTCTTTCTCATACCCACGGCACACACTGCAATCCATCACAGCCCTGCTTCCTACTGAATTTGAATAAGCCTCAGAACATCTTGTCTGCCTTCTCAAGGTCAAAGCTCCCTGGAAGCTAGGATGCATATGCGTGACTCGGTGTCCCCCAGGGAGATACAGCCATGAGAGACTTTAATTCAGAGGAGAAAAATAGGAGGAAGAAGAAGACATTGCTGGGAAGGTGGCAAGGCATAGCAGAAGGACCTCAGACAGTCAAAGTAGAGGCCCTGGCCACTGTATCCTCTACAAAGCACAGCGCCTGTGTCTATGGACCAGATGTGTGATTGAGGTGGTGTTTCTGAATGAAAAGCTTTCCAACTTGACTCTTTGAACCTCCAAGAGATTCTTTGTTGCGCAGTACCCTTAATGTGTTTGTTCCCTGCTTAAATTAGCTAAAGTGTGTTCTGTTGTTTCAAAAACAGATGTAACCAATACATTCCTGCACTTGATGTGCTGATAGGCCAGGCTCTTTGCAGTTCTCTAAGTGTGCCAGGTGGATCTGCTGCACTCCAACTGCTCCCTTTGTCCAATACCCTCTCCCCACCAGTCCCCCATCATACCAGTTAGGAAGGTTTTGGCTGCAAGTAACAGATAAACTGTTAAAAAATGGCTTAAACAATTACAGTTTATTTTATCCACAAAAAAGAAGTCCTTATGAGCCCTCAAAAAATTAAAAACAGAAGTACTATATGATCCTGCTATTCCACTCTGGGTATGTACCCAAAATAATTGAAAGCAGAGTGTTAAGGAGAGTTGTACACTTACGTTCATAGCAGCATTATTCACAATAGTCAAAAAGTAGAAGCAACTCCAGTGTCCATTGGATCGACAGATGGATGAATAAGCAAAATGTGGTATATACATACATTGGAATATTATTTAG